CCCATACCCATATATGCAATGGCCCAAATGTAGGTAAATATACCAGCACCATGGAGCATATGGGATATGTTTCGGATAGCCTCTGGTAATCAAACATGGTTTGTTGGAACAGTTCGCCCATCTATAGATTTCATTCAGTTGTTTTGGGGATTTTCTGGCGCAAGATTTTTCGGTACCGGAGGGGTTTTATCACCTCTGGTAAAGGTTTACACAACGAACTGGAAAGATCCACCATTTTCACGATTTCTAAATGGCCATTTTCCAGTTCGCTATGTTTGTTTACCAGAGGGTACTTTTGTCACATCGGTTATCGTCCTTTGTCCTTCAAGGTGCCACTTGTGCGAAGAGCTGTGAGGGTGAGAAGTGCGGCTTCAAATGTCACTGGCACCCAGTACGTGGAACCGATCTTGCCGAAGGTATTGGAGATTTAACCATGGTTAACCATGCTTCTATCATTGTATTTGAACCATCAACAGATGGGGAATATATTATATATTATAATTGATATATGATGGTTGGTTGATGATTATATTGCCATACTTTAGTCCTTTAGTTTTTTGGTATTAGTGGGATTATCTACTAACCAGCAAAAAAAAAAATGCCAGGTATCTAAGATTGGCAATGTAAAGCCTATATACTTATCCTCCGGTATCCACATGTGGCTTGCTGGAAAACCACTTAAGTTTAGTTCGACGATTTCCCCAAAACCTCCATTTTAGTTCGGGGATTTCCCAGCTCACCATGTTTGATTTCCGGAGGGTATATTGTTTGAATGAATGAAATATTAACTAATATAGTTTTATAACTATATTGATTTAGCTAATATAGTTAATATACTAATATAATATTTCAGCTAACCATGTTTGATTGAATGAATTTGTTCTCTAACTGATATAAACTATATAAACTATATAAACTATATAAACTATATAAACTATATAAACTATATTAAATTGACATATTCAAATCATGTGTGAGATACCTGTTTTTTTCTGGATGTTTGTGTGGTGAATAAAGCGCATAGATTGAGAACGATTGGGATATCTCACCAACATATATCACCAAAAAATGATACATGGGTAATCGTCCCCAAATGGTTGAATGTTCAGTAATTATCCTGAAACTTGGTATCCAATTTAGTGGGATTTAGCCATCAAGAATTGTGAATTTAGGAGTCCCTCATGAAAACTATGGATCTAAATTCAGACGGGCTTTAACTCCCCTCAGAATACTGACAATAATCCGGGATACAATCTAAACAGGTTGTTTTTTTTTGTATATATCATGAGACAGGATGTAATACACGAATTACAAAAAGTATCAAAAAGTGATATATGTGAATATATATATATGTGAATATACCATATATGATATAACACATATGATATAATATGTTTCATAAGATTATAAGTAAAATATGATACCCCATATAGTGCAACAGAAAGGTTTGGCTTTGGAAATCGGGTCCTTCCAAGTTCTCATTCCAATGGTTGTGCCGAGGTGCTGGATCCTTATTCGGTCAGGACGGCTATGGCATGCTATGGAAAATAGGGTTTGACCATGGAAAATCCACCATGACTGGGGAATCTATAGTGAATATGTTTTATTTTTGTTGGGAGCCCTTAAGCAAATCCATGCCACACGAAGCATCATCCATCCCTTTTTTGATTCTCTATAGAGAGCTTTTTGGGCTGTGTTTGAAGATTGAATTGATCGGTTTAAGTGAAAATTTACGGGAAACCTCAATATTTCATGGGACAATCCATAGTTTCCTGTAGATTTTCCCTTACACCAATCCATTGAAAGATGGGGGATGTTTCCCACGATGGATGTGTTCATCAGGGACAAACCAACGTGACTCTGGATCGGAAGTCTGTCTGGGTTTTGTCGTCGAAAAACTGCTGGATATTATGGATGTTCATACCCCGGAAATAGAACATCAGCACGGCTGTGGGTTAAAGCCCTGGTACCCGGATGGTACCCTAGTTAATGGCTGGTATAGCTGGATGGTTATTTCCCCATATGGCAATCTCATAGGTGTTTTAAAGGGAATGTACCCTCTGGTAAATTAACATAGACCCTGAAAATAGCCTAGTTTTAATGGAAACTAATCTTCCAACCCCTATCTGCCAGGGTCTATGTTGATTTACCAGAGGGTAAGTGTAGTTAATGTCATGGGTTTACACACCAACAAACATCACTGAGGGGCATCAGATCCTCATGAATTGTTGAATCTTCAGGAGTTTCCAAATTTCTGGGAACGATCCAAAACAAAAACATGTTGATTTTCAGGATGCTAAAATGGATTCACGCTGCCATCGAAGGCAATGTTATTTCTCTACATAGACCTTATACAGATCAGTCCAGTTCAAGTACCTGAATGACCCCCTCAGCTGTAAGTTGGTTAACACACTATGGAGGTTTCCTAAAATGGTGGATCCCCAGTCGTCACCATAGGTTTCAATACGATCCGTCATGGTCATCCATGTTGGATGGTTTGGGGGGTACCAGGTACACCCAGGCATCGTTTATGGGTTGTATAAACCATCGATTTTTATGGGTGTATTGTTGCTATCTCATATAATACAACCAAAACATATAATTCATACTCATATGGATATAGATACTGTATACACTATTATTCTTATTATTACTGGCATATACATCAAAAATGGAGATGTTCATGGGAAAATCAAAAAAAATACAAACAACATATATCAATAGATCAATGACCATTTCAGGAACCTAAATTGGAGGTACCTAGCATATATTCTTGGCCTATTTTTTTAAGCCTATGTCAGGGAATATCCCCACAACATATGGCCAACAATTTGGTACTAACGTACCTCCATAAAATGGATCCTGAAGATCTCCCATAGAATAGATATCCTCATCCCAACATCCGTTACCCTCTGGTAAACTAACATAACTATGGAAAATCACCATTTTTCATGGGAAAACTCACTATTTCTATGGCCATTTCCAGTTAGCTTTTTGTATGTTTACCAGAGGGTACACAACGTCCAGGAGGAATGTGCTCGCGACTGCAAGGGAGTGGAATGTGGTTCTCAGTGCATCGGTCCGAGTTCCCAGGATCACCCTCGGTACGAATGGCGGTGGCAACAGGAACCGATTGGAGGTACGAGCCGTGGCGAACTACCCACGGCTCGTTTTTGTGGGTTATAACCCCAGTGATTTACATGGGATAAGGAGCGGGTTAATCCACTTATAATTGGGGTGAGCTAACCCACTTACGATTCGTGGGATGAGCCACCAAGTACCTACCATATATTTTTGGCCTATTTTTTAGGCCTAAGTTTCAGGGGAAGATCGGAAGATCCCCAAGATTCATATTGCCAAAAATATGGTGCGTTTACATAGCTCCATAAAATGGATCCTGAAATTCCCATTGATTTAGGGATTCAAAAGGTGCTGCAAGATTTGGACATCCATTTCTGTATGTTGATGAAGCTAAAAAATTGGGAGATGATGTTGTATACAACCAATAAAACGGGTGAGAAAAACTGACTGGTGCTGTCGAGTCGTGTTGTTTTCCATCCTAGAGATGATTCGTGTTCTTTGGCTTCAAAACCTGGTTGGTGAGAAGATCCTTCTGGTCAAGTCCTTGGTTCAATCAACCCCTCTGACATAGCCACAAAGCGTTTGAGCATCAGCTGACTTGAATCATGTTTCTGTTTGGAGTCTGGGATGGAGTGCTCAGCCTGGACAAGAATGGTGGACAGCGACTGCAAAACTGGTGAACCCCCCCCCTGTTGGGTGTGGTTCAAAACCATGAAGCCCAGCCAAGTGTTTGGTATCCTCTGGTAATTCTCCATTTAATTCGATGATTTTCCCAGCTCTAAACCTCAGTTCCGGGGGGTTTCCCAGAAATCGCCATGTTTGATGACCCAAGGGGGCCAAATTGCCCTATCTGTGGCCCATCTTTCAGCCAGAATCATGTTCAAGATCACTTTGAGCATGGTGCTCTTCAATGGGGAAGCAGATGATGAGCAATCATTTTTTTGCCCCAACAGTTTGACAGAAACCCACATACACCATATTGCTGATATCCCATTTATATTCCAACCTGAGTGATTAACACCACCCGTTTTGAGACAAGCCACAAAAACTACGTATAGAAAGCTTGGTGGTTTGGCCAGATCCCCATAAAGGGTGTGGCTTTAGTAATCCCATTCCCCCTATAGTAAACACACCCGTTGTATGGTCCACAATATCTGTAAATCCCGTACTAAAACATGGTCTAATTAGGTGGTGTTTTTTCATATTGTGGGGAAGAGCTAATTGGTTAAGCAACTCCATATTTGGGATCCAATAATACAATCCTACAATAGATCCAAATACTGGGTATATTGTAGTTGCTTAACCTAAGCTCCAATACAATATACAATATACCATTAATAATACTATTCATGAATAGATCCAATACATTCCAATACAATCCACCAGTGGTTCCCCCATCATTCTGAATGGACCTTGGGGGAAATCCAGTGGACAAATCGGGAATTTTTAGGGGACATGGATTGTTTGGGGTTCGTTAAGCAAATCCAAATCCAAGATGATGTTCAATCATTATTAGTGTTATTATTGTAATTATTATTGTTATTATTGTACTTATTGTATTTGTCTATTGTTATTCTCTATCATGATTCTCACTATTACTGTTATTATTATTAGTATAGCAATAATGATCACTCATCAGGGATTAGTGATCGTTCACACCCCTGAGGCGGCAACTGCGCCTCTGCTTGCCAAGGTGGGGACACAGCCTGCGGGACACGTGGGGACTGGGTTGGACGAATTTCATGGGGATCTACAACCAACAGTATGATACATCTGGGTAAATTATAACGACCTCACTGTTCTCCCTCACTGGAAATCATAGTTAGTAAGGGGAATCATCCCCAAATGGCCTTAATTCAGGTTAGTGAAATATTATAATTTACCCAGATACATGATGATTCTTGGGTTGATTTGAAATCTATATAGGTATACTGCAACAAATCCAATGGTTTATCATCGTTTCTCCAAATTTTATGGCAATTTGAGGGTATACAGTATACCTTTTTTTTCAGACACCCACCTCATTTTGAAGGAATCAGAACAAGGCATGGTCAGATGTTTTCAAGAGGACATTTGCAGAACCAGGGACACAATCATTTCCAACGCGTTAACACTATGTGAATTGAGATGTCGTCTTTTGATGACAACAACAATGATGATGTATCAATATATATATCATAATAATAATGAGAAGTTATATGTGAATATCATGTAACAAGTTATATTCAATGGATTGGTTTAAGGGGAAATTTACAGGAAAGCCCCATATTTAATGGGAAAATCTAGTTTAATGGAAAATCACTATTTTTTAATGGACAATCACCATGTTCAATGGAAAATCACTATGTTTAATGGGTAAATCCACTATAAATCACCATTTAATGGGTAAATCTAACGTAACGAACTGGCAAATCACCATTTTAAATGGGTAACTCCACTATAAAAATGGCCATGTTCAAGTTCGCAAACTGTAAACGTTTACCGTTGTGGGTGGGTCAACCTTGGATGGGTCAATCCTTTCAGCATTTCCTATAAATAGGCATATTTACTAACCACCTATTTATTAATTGATTTTTGAGTGGCTTAAAACTGGATTTTTTGAGTGGCTTAAAACTGGATTAAAATTGGATTTACTAACCACCTATTTGTTTTTCTAGGGCATCTAAGATTAGCAATGTAAATGGGCATGTTAAAATTACAACCAACTGAAGAAATATGTGCCATAGTGAATAGATAGCAAATAGTTCACCAACATGCATATATGTTGAAATATTAATGGCGGGTACATACGTATGTATATATATATATTTTTTTCCCCACCTGCCAGGTGAGGGTTGTTAGATTTTATGTCAGTTGCCTCCTCGTCCTCCTCCTCCTTCTCCTCCTCCTCCTCCTCCTTCTCCTCCTCCTCCTCCGCCTCCTCCTGCCTCGTCCTCCTCTCCTCCTCCTCCTCGTCGTCCTCGTCGTCCTCGTCGTCCTTGCTCAACTGCGACCCGCGATCCACAGTGTTCTCTGCCGGACCTCAACCACGACCATCCACGCCCAGTGTTCCCTGCCGGACCTCAACCACGACCATCCACGCCACGCCCAGTGTTCCCTGCCGGACCTCAACCACGACCATCCACGCCCAGTGTTCCCTGCCGGACCTCAACCGCGAGTATCCACGCCAAGTGTTCCCTGCCGGACCTCATGTAGGAAGATATGGGACAAAGAATGTGCAGAAGAATTAGCCAGATAGATATGCCAGAAGATATGCCAGAAGATATGCCAGATAGAATGCCAGAAGATATGTCAGAATATATGCCAGAAGATATGTCAGATAGAATGCCAGATAGAATGCCAGAAGATATGTCAGATAGAATGCCAGAAGATATGCCAGATAGAATGCCAGAAGATTTGCCAGATAGAATGCCAGAAGATATGCCAGAAGATATGCCAGATAGAATATATGCCAGAAGATATGCCAGATAGAATGCCAGATCAGAAGATATGAATGAATGCCAGAAGATATAAGCAGATGGTGCCAGGGATCACCAGTAAGAAAATGTATAAATGTCATGGTGGGGATCACACGAAGTAAAGTAATTTATATATAGTTTAGTTGGATGTTTACTTACCAACATTAACCAACTAATAAACTAAGCAAATATCTTGTGTGCAGGGTACCACACATTGGCAATGATGGTTAGCCACGTATCCCCTTGAAAGATGAGCCCATGCCGTAGTCATCATTTGAAGAACCCTGTGTAAATTGGGTATGGTTGGAAAATCATGGAAAATCTCATGAAAATGTGTAATGGATGGTTGTTATAAGCTATAACTAAAGGTGAATTAAAAGTGGTTAACTAATGGTTGATGAACTGTTATATTCCCCCAGAAGTTGTTAAAATATAACAACAGCCATCCCCAATTTGCCATGCAATAAAATGATTGTTATATCTTATCATTGCGTTTGCCACACTAGTTAGTAGGTAGGGTTAGGTTACAAGCCGCGAAAAAACACATGACAGCCCTGGCGGACTTCTTGAGAAGCTGTAGTTCTTACTGCCCAAGATTGTTGGGTAGGATTTGTGTGAAAATAGGTTATCCTAACTACCATGGATTGGGGTATATTCAATGGGAGATCTTCAGGATCCTAAAATTCAGGGTACCTACCATATATAAGGCCTATTTTTTGAGGCCTATGTAAGGGAATATACCCACAAAATATGGCCAAAAATATGGTACAGTACCTCCATTTTAGGATCCTGAAGATCTCCCATTGATATATCCCCCTTTTTTGGACACACCCAAATGTTGGATTCCATCAGTATTCGAAACTCGAAACAGCCTCAGTAGAGAAAAAGAGATGGAGCTGAAAGTTTAACTAGCAATGCTCCGTCCAACCTATCTAATATGGTACACCTAATATGGAGTTATGGGAAATTATGGGAAATTATAAATTGGATAATCATGGGATAGTTGTGGGATAATTACAGTTGTTCACCATCCCCTATGGATGTTTATGATTGAGTATACTGTATACATTTATTTATTATTTGGGGCCATAGAAAATGACCCTCCAGTCATGGTTGGTTAATGGGATGGTAAAACCTGCTGGGTTTACCATCTTCGAATCTTCAAATCCAGAGATTCGATAGAAGTTTCCATTCATGACCAATTGCTAGTAAAACTACCCTCTGGTGAACTAACATAGCAATGGAAAATCACCATGTTTAATGGGAAAATCCACTATAAATGGCCATTTTCAATTGCTATGTTAGTTCACCAGAGGGTACATTTGCCGCTGGTAAACTGACATAAGCTATCGACAATATGCATTTTTATGCATTTTTAATAGGTAAATCATCGAACTAAATGGGGCGAACTGTTCCAGTTTGCTATGTTAGTTCACTGGAGGGTAATACGTGGTTCATATCCGCAAGCAGACGCCGTTTTGGCCTGGAGGATTCATAAGAAACAAATCCTCCTCTGAGTAGGCCTCCCTTCTGTAAACATACGAACAGATGTGGAAAACCATGGGTTGTCCACATCTATCTTAGTTTTTAAATGTTTTTAATTACATTCCTGGTCTTTATAATGGTATCCATGGGATTCTTGCGATGGTAATTCCCATATGAACTCCATTAACCATGACGAACCCCACTATTGATAGGATGCATCAACAATTCATGAGCATTAATAACAATTATATTCTAACAACCATTCATTAACCATTAGTATATCTGGTTGGTGGTTTGGGACATTTTTTATTTTTCCATATATTGGGAATTTCATCATCCCAACTGACTTTCACTCCATCATTTTTCAGAGGGGTAGGTATACCACCAACCAGATATCCATTCCCTAAGGATCCATGTATGGAATATTTACCTACATTGGGATTATTTTAAATTACTTTAGGGGTCAATGTAGGTAAATATTCCATACATGGATCCTCTGGGATTAATTCACCATGAACCATAAATTCCAGGGTGTTCACCCTCCAGGCCTGGAATGTGGCTACTACTGCCAGGGCACCGAGTGCGCCCGGAAGTGCGAAGGTGGCCGCTGCGGTTCCTACTGCAGTGGCGAGAAAGGCGCGGGTTTTGATGGAACGATGCGAGATACGTGGGATGCCATGGGTGGTCTGTAATAGTTAATAGTGGTGAATAATGATGGTTAGTTAATGGTTAATTAATAGTGATGGTTAGTAGTGGTGAATCATAGGTTATTGGTGGTTACCCTCTGGTAAACGTTTACAGTTTGCTATTGAAAATGGCCATTGAAATAGTGGATTTTTTCCATGAAAAATGGTGATTTTCCATAGTTATGTTAGTTTACCAGAGGGTATATGTTCAACGGCCATGCAACATACAAATCCCGACTGGTACCCGATCATGTTCTTGGTATGCAGGACCTGGACGACAACCTGCTGGTGACGACCCTCCTCCAAACAGACCCATTTTGATCATTGTGGATTACTCGGCGCTTCAAGACTTGTCACACGCCAGTGAGGCAAATTCTGCAGCTTTTCGAGCACTCCGCCCAGGCAACTTTCGTTGCGCCTCAACTGGAGAACAGGAAGCCCTTTTCACCTGGGCTCAACCGCACGATTCCTACAGATCTTGAACCGATTGGAGGTACCTACCATATATATCCACATATTCTTGACCTATTTTTTAGGCCTATGTCAGAAAATCCTCACACAATATGGCCAAAAATATGGTACTAAAGTACCTTCATTTTAGGATCCTGAAGATCTCCCATTGATATGTGAGGGTTTCCACAAATGGGATGGTTTATAATGGGCAAATACCAGACAAACATGTATGATTTGGGGTAGCCCTATTTTAGGAAACCACCATGGGGTTGTCGGAAAATAGTGTAGCCCTAAAGTCCCTAAACCCAATGGTTAGTTTTCTCACTATCCCTATCGCTGTTTCATTGGGGGCATACCATGGTATACCCTATTTTCAGACACACGATGCCCTTGGACCTGATCTTGACATGATGGCAAGGGTACTATTAAATAGTAAAAATTAATCTCTTACTCTAAATGGATATATTGATACATATTAATATTTTCTAACCAGCCAAAACGTTGTTTGACTTTTTTGTGCTACATGCCTCCCAAGATTGGCCATGAAAACAAGTTGACAGAGCAACCAAGTAAATGGCTGATAAATGAACATGAAAGATCGCAAATCAATCACCAACAGTGAAGCGTGTTGATCAACAACATATTCAAATAGAATGTTGATCAACACGACATGGATTCGCTTGGATTAAACAATCCCGTTTTCTTTGGGGTAGTATATTTTGGTATGATCACGCACAGTGTCATCAAGTACATTATACATTGATTAATGCAAGTTTACATGTTTGCATACATATAAATGTATACATCTATGTAGACACGCAGATAAGTCTATTGAGTAGTTTTGGTTGACACAATGAATAAACAATTCGAACGAAACACTCATTTGCTCTCCAGTACTTCAACCTGGCAAATTTCTACCCATTTGGATTTCGATGATTACCCTCTGGAAAATTTACTTGTTGATCCTGAAAATGACCAATTTATAGTGGTTTCACTAGTCTTCCAACCCCGAATACTGGCAGGGTCTATGTTAATTTACTGGAGGGTACATCAATCATATGTCATCCCATATCATCATATATCAACCATAATTAACAATCATTAACCATTATTAACAATTATAATCCCATAGTTCCCCAGGGGTCCTCCCCAGTATCCCATATCTTTACATATTTCCCATGAAGTTGAGGTGTTCCATCGCCATCTTCATGGTTGACTTGTTCGACTCCCCTGACATGAAATATTCTAAAACCACCAAGCAGCTAGGGTTCCCCCAAGGCTTTCCATATCAGTGCTAACTTTAGATACACAAAATATGTTCGATGTCCTACATGTTCGCACTAGTTTTGATTACAGTTGGTTATGCATCCGATTACAGAATGCCCCATGTAAATATATATATATATGTGTACATATTTCCCACCTAAATCCCTATTCTGAATGAGTTAATCCCAAACATGATTTCAAATCAAAACCAGCAGCCCGTAATCTTTGGTCAATATTGGTTATATAATATCCATTGGACTACCATTTTGGAAGCTAACCTCCATTCCATTGTCCTGTCGTTCAGTCTCCGTTAAAAGTTGGGATGTTCCATGGGCCATACTAAGTTAAATCTGACAATGGAGTAAAACACTATATTGTTTTGATTATTATATCAGAGTTATATAGAATTATAGTATCCCGTTTTATAATATATTCTCCAATCTTATCCCATATTGGACCCTCTGGTAATTTAACATAACTATTGAAAATCACCATTTTTCATGGGTAAATCAACTATTTTCTATTGCCATGTTCAAGTTCGCAAACTGTAGACGTTTACCGTTGCGGGTACATGATTTTATGGAAAGTCGGGATGTTCCAGTTTCCCATGGGCATTCCAATAGGGGAGAACGTACCAGCCCCTTGCAGGAAGCCAAGGACATTGCGCTTACCAGTGCAAGGGCAGGCGACGTACGGGATTGGAGAGAAATTCGATCGTTACCAGCCAAAACATGAAGATCTACATGAGTGGTAAATATAGTGGTTAGTAGTGGTTAATAATGATGTTATATCTCCATATTGGTGGTTACCCTCTGGTAAACTAACAGTTTGCGAACTGGAAAATGATCATTTTTGGATGGATAAAATCAACGAACTAAATGGCCATTTTCGATAGCAAACTGTTAAATTTCCAGAGGGTAAGCCTTTAAAAGTTTGGACCTTTGCAATGGATTTAAGAGGTTAGATTTAGGAATTGACCACGTAGCTTCAGCAGCACAATGCTGGGGATATCAATCGGATGTATCCAGTATTTCATCTAGGCAGGATGGCGAGATGTCGCCCGAAACTGAATTTGTTGTTGAACCATCTTTGAAAACGTACAATGGCCCAAATTGTGCCCGGTTGTGTCCTCTAGTGATCTCTAGTGATATTTGTTTTTGTTTATAAATCCCCCCAGTCATAGTTATAAGTTATAAACATCCAGAAATATCCATAAACGCAACAGTTGACCTAGTGAAATAAACCAATTTTGCTGAGTAATGTGGGTAAAACAGTGTCATAAACCAACCATTTGGGAATGCTTTGAATCCCACCTATTTATGGTGATGACTGGGGGATGGTTTATTGAAGTATACATATATATATATACCAACTTAGCCAAGTAACTGGGCCAGGCAATGTGGTTTCCAATGCATCGGCGCCATGTGCGCGGCCGAGTGTACCGGAGACCGCTGCGCCTACCGTTGCCAGGGAAGCCACGAGGCAGCTGTGAAGCGTGGGTTAGTAGGTGTGGTACCCCCAGTCGTAACTGGAAAAACCATGGAAAAAAAAACGAGATATCCCACTTGTCACTATATATGTATACATAATATATATATATTTATAATACATACATACATATTTTTATATAGAGATCTAACTTACAAAGTGGGATGAACCACGAAGTACCTTCCAGTACTCAAACATGGTGCTTGGACATGTCCCCTTTCAATGGGAATAGAGGCCCAGTTTTTTTACTCTCGGAGATGGTCAGGTTGCAGTTGCTGGCGTTCAATTGAACAATCATTGGGTGGTTTTGACAGATGGTTTGGAGTGAAATCCTTAGCAGTGTTGTCAATGGGAGATCTTCAGGATCCAAAAATGGAGGTACTGTACCATTTTTTTGGCCATATTTTGTGGGGATATTCCCTTGCATAGGCCTTATATAGGCCTTATACATGGTAGGTACCTCCAATTTATTGCATGGCCATTGATGTTGGTCATGTCAATGAGTCTCTTTGGGTGCTATCCGCCACGTTTTTTCTGCTTGAATCATCTTGAATCCCCAGTTTGGTATGTGACATACTGTTTTCCTCCTTTTAGAAACTGCTTTTTTTTTTGCATGAGTCCTTTTTAGTACCCTCTGGTAAACTAACATAGCTATGGAAAATGGCCCATAGAAATAGATGGTTTACCTATTAAAAATGGTGATTTTCTATAGCTATTTTAAATTACCAGAGGATATGTTCTTCCGATTCACGTGTTGGTCTTGTTCGTGATTTCACCATCCTATTTGGGCATAGAACGACGACCTCACTGTTCTCCCTGGAATGGTGCCCAGGGAGCTTCCTGCCCGACCTGAACACTAGGATTTTTCATGTCAGATCATGAGCAAAAAAAACATGGTCAACTTACATGGTGTATGGGATTAAACCAACAAAAAGAATGGGATATGGAATGATATAGAATGGGTAATGGTTTTAATATTACATATATTACTATCATGGGGAATGGGATTTCTGTCATGGGGATTGAACCAGCAATATGATTTACCAGCAATAGGCATCCTTGGCATCCATCCCATAGAGGAATCCCTACGCAAAATGGCATTCAAACTCCTATCATTGGATTGATGAGCATCCTCCAATACAGCCAGTTTACCCTCTGGTAAACTAACATAACTATGGAAAATCACAATTTTCAATGGGTAAATCCACTATAAATCACCATTTTCAATAGCTATGTTAAATTACCAGAGGGTACCAAGAATTACTTTTTTTTTTTATGAGTGATCCCCGCCAACTTAACATGCTATCTGAGAAATTGTGTTAATATCATGTCATATCTACCCTCTGGTAATTTAACATAGCTATTGAACATGGCCCAGTCGAAATAGTGGATTTTCCCAGCTAAAACATTGTGATTTTCCATAGTTATGTAAACGTTTCCCAGAGGGTAGTTAACATTAATCAAATACTGGTTGGTGGTTTGGAACATCTTTAATTTTTCCATTCAGTTGGGAATTTCATCATCCCAACTGACGAACTCATATTTTTCAGAGTGGTAGGTATACCACCAACAAGTAATTAACATTAATTATCATGTCATATCTACCCCCTGGTAATTTAACATAGCTATTGAACATGGCCCAGTCGAAATAGTGGATTTTCCCAGCTAAAATATGGTGAATCCAGGAATCCCAATTTTTTCAGTGACATCCCCGTGTTGCTACCACGCCTCAAAATGTCTGCAGGACGTGGGCACTTGTGGAACCAAGTGCAACGGCTTGGAAGCCCGTGTTCAACACTGGTGGTGACGTAAAAATCTGGTGGTTTTGGCCTGGATTTACAAAGTCAAAAACGTTTTTTTCGGGGTAACGGGGTCTAATTTGGGTTGATTTGAAGGTTTATTGGTTTGATCATATCAGTCAATGATGGTTTAATTGAAAATGTGAAAATCAATTATAAACCAACCAGTATATGGTTTATTGAACATTTGGTTGGTTTGATAATTTGTTTTTGGAGGTTATACTATCCAGTAAGACTGGAAGTTGCCTATTCAGAAGCCAATATGATGGAATGACAGAAGGTTTTGGGCATTGTTCATGGGTAAGTTCTCTGCGTTGAAATAACCAATCCAACTGTTGGAATTTCAAAGAGTCGGAATGGTCTGTAATCTGTTTTAGAACTCAAAAAAACCTTGAACATAATTTCTGGGTGCCCAGAAAAAACTCATTTAGTTCTTCAGCGCCGACCCCGAGACCGTCAAGTCTCTCTGGTCCAGGGCCGAATTCATCGAGACATAAACCAGCAGGCATCATGTAGAAAATCAGGACTATTAAGCACCATTCAGCGCCTTGTTAGTAACCATTAACTTCCTAGCTTTAATGGTATAATAATAATAATAAATAATAATAAATAATAATAGATAATAATAAACAATAATAATAGTAATGATAGTAATAATAATAATAATTATATGTATATATATTATTTCAAACTTTAGCCTCTTAACCTGTGGGCCTTGTGGACCATGGAGGGAACTATGGAAGGGACTATGGAAGAAACCAGGGCAATAAGGATATCTTATAGAAGGTGATGTTAGAAACCATGTCAAGGGAAAATTAGCAAGCTTTTGAAGAAGTAAAGAAACAAAACAATGCACACAGCGAGGACACATCCAGATTCATCAATCTGGATTTGCACTCAAAGTCGTGAAGTACTTGACCTAAATTGAATTTGTATTGTGGACCGGTGATGAATTCAGTTTTGCTAGTAACAAAAACTTGCCATGGATACTTTATACCTATCTGATCCACAGTCTATAGATATAAAATTCTGATTGTGAGATTGGGGTGAACTTATGTTTCGGTCTTTCTTTTGAAGACTAAATCTACTTAGGTAATCTTAGGTGCAAATAAAATTCTACTTAGGCGTCACGAACTGACGCCTAAGTAGAATTCTATTTGCGCCAGATAGATTATGCATTCCAAATTCTAGTCTGGGGCTGTTGGAAGACAAAATTCATAATCTACTTGGGCGCAAAAAGAATTCTGCTTAGGCGTCACGAACTGACGCCTAAGTAGAATTCTATTACTATTTGCGCCTTATTAGACCATGTCTTCCAAATTCTAGTCTGGGGCTGTTGGAAGACATAATTCATAGTCATAATCTACTTAGGCGCAAATAGAATTCTAGTCTGGGGCGGTTAGACGACATAATTCATAATCCACTTTGGCGCAAAAAGAATTCTGCTCAGGCGTCACGAACTGACGCCTAAGTAGAATTCTATTACTATTTGCGCCTAATTAGACCATATTCTAGTCTGGGGCTGCTGGAAGACATAATTTATATTCATAATCTACTTATGCGCAAATAGAAATCTAGTCTGGGGCTGTTGGAAAACATAATCCATGATCTACTTAGGCGCAAATAGAATTTTGCTTGGGCGTCACAAGCTGACGCCTAAGTAGAATTCTATGTGCGCTTAAGTAGACTATGCATTCCAAATTCTAGTCTGGGGCTGGCATTTGGGTGAAAATATGGTTTGCTTTCAAGATGGGAGACATACTCAGGCGACAGAAACAAACGACGAAGTGGAATTCTATTTGCAGCTAACTAATTTTCTAGTGTGGGACTGGGCTAAATTCAGCTTTGATTACTTAACAACCTTGCCCCAAATACTTGAAACCTTGAATAAATACACAACCCGCATACAGATAGTGGGTTTAATTTATGATGCTGCATTTGTTTGAGGGAAGATTCAGGCGGTTTAAGCGCAATTGGAGAAATACTTAGGTGGAAGGAACAGGCGCTGAAGTCGAATTCTATCAATATGTAATTTCAATTATTTGGAAGGCAGTCCATGTGTGTTTGGGCGCGCTGAGCTGGCTTCTGCAATGTGTTCAGGCTGTTGGGATTATGTGACTTCCCTTTTCAAAAAAAGAACAAAGGCAATGCTGGTTGTTGGCTGCATTCCCATTGCTGTCTTTTTCCCCACCAGGTCTGGAATGGATCAAAAATATGCAGTAGCGGCAGCAGTGCAACATCCAGGCTATATTGTTGGTATTTTGTCACTCTGGCAAGACTGTTGCTACTACCGTGCTACTACCCATAAAAGAAACAAACTATATTGTATATAGCTGCCGATAATTTCTTGGACCATGATTTGATACTTTTCAGAATATATATATATATATAGCGCTAGCGGTGGGGTTCTTGAGGGTGATGATGGGTTATACTTTCAGGTTGGGACTAATGCATCCGGAATGGCTCAACCTTGTCCGTGCCTTCCTATTCCCGGGATTCTTGGCACAGAGAACCAATTTACGTGACAATTTTCTTAGCGCAGAGGTCTCCAGAACGGTTCGGAACGGTTCTGCAGACCTCCAGAACGGTTCGGAACGGTTCTGCAGACCTCAACTTTGCACGGAAATATTTCTCCACAGCTTCCAAACCCCCCCAAAAAACGGTCAAGAGCAGTTCCTCCTGTTTCGCATTTTCAAAACCTTCCAAAGAGCCGCCCTGTGGCTCCAAGGGCCAAGGCTACAAGAGAAAGGAGTCAGAAAAACGACAAAGGGAAGGCAACTTCTCCGCCTAAGTCTTTGAACAGGCAGTGCGAAGGCATGCTGAGCACAAGGGAGAAGGTGAAACTGGATGTAGACTACAAAAGGCTGGAAGTTTCTCAGCTGTTTGTTCATGGAAGGCGTGGCCCCTTTCAAAATCTTACCTGTCTTGAAAACTGTTCTGTGGAATCTTTTCTAACAAAATCATACAACTGTGTAGTTTGTATTGAAATATCCCTTTGAAAGTATCGCTTGTGTTGAATCATCATTGCTTATGGTACTAGTATGTGTTTATTTGTTCAAACTCTCTGTATTAAAGTAAAATAATTATATAGTCAAAATATGCTATTATACAAGTTAACATATGCTATTATATGGAGGTCTCCGGAACCGTTCCGAACCGTTCTGGGGTCTATAGGCTTTGAATCCGGAACCGTTCCGGAACCGTTCTAAATAGTTCTAAATAGTTCTGAGGTTTTGGAAGTATCCGGAACCGTTCCGAACCGTTCTGGGGAAATCCCCGGAACCGTTCCGAACCGTTCTGCAAACCCCAAATAATGGCTTATATGTTAACTTACTTTTATACTTGTATATAACTTGATAAAACCAAATATACACACTTGTAGCTTATAGCTACTTTGTAAAATACAACTCATAATCCATAACTCTTGACTATCAAACTTCAATAAATCAATGTATAAGGTTTAGGAACTGTTTTAAAATTGAAACACATTGTTATAACTGTTAATTTACAACTTAGAGCTTCTAGCTATGACTTGACACTAAAAACTGTGTAACTTATAATTTTGTAACCTTTTAACTTTGAACTTACAACCTATAACTAGAACTTAGAACCTTTAACTTGTAACATACCTTTGACTTTACTTCTCGATTTCACTTCAACTGTTTAACGCTTTATAAGTATGTTTTGATGTTTGCCTTACTTTACTTGCTTTGTATTTATGATTTATATAGGACTGTTTGAGTTTTTAGATGAATTATATGTTCTTGTTTGTTCGTGTATGCTTGACAGTTTGGAAGTATATCGACGGGGTTTGTTTGTATAAAACGCAACAATAAAGTTTAAGCGTTGTATTTGGATAAAATGACATATTTATAATGATTGTAATCTGTTACTGCAACACTGCTACGGACCAATGCACAACAACGTAACGACAGAAATACAGTAACACATCTTTGAAGGATTCCGTTTGCAGTTGATAAATTTGTTTCACCATGTTTTACCTAAGTTTTACCGTGGTTTTCGCAGCACCGAAAACAATACTTAAAAACTGTGGATTTGCATTTGCAGTTCATCCATGCACATGAGCACACAGCCATACATACACTCATCAATGCACTAGTTAACCAATTTTACAGTATACAGGGTCACATCGTAATATTGTTTTTATGAGTTTTTTTTTCTAGTTGGAGCTTGCGCAAATGCATTCTTTGGTGTTCTCCTTTTTGAAGAAATATGGGACCCCGAATTACACAGATGTTGTATATTGTTGTATACTGTTTTCCTTTCCAACTTACGGACCAATATTTTCAAATACGAAATTTGTATGTAACATCTAACTTGATGTTGAAAGGTTTTTTGTCCAAGAACTTGGAGCAATGCGTTTCTCTATCAAAGTGGTGGGTTTCTTCATTGGGTGACATTTTTAGTGGAAACACCCCTTATTTCCATGGATTGCTACATAGTTCTTTCCATAGTTCTTTCCCTGGACATATGAAATCAACAGGAATCCAAATTTAAGAGACTAAGGTTTGAAATAATATATATAGTTATAATATATTATAATATATTAAATGTATATCATTGTAATTGTTAAATCTAACTCCTGGTGGGAATTGTTCATCTTCGATCCAGGTTTGGAATGTGCTTACCGCTGCGAGGGCAGCAGCTGCGCTGAGCTTTGCGAAGGCGGCACCAAAAAAAGTTTGGACACAAATATGTACAAGGTGGTGCCCCAGTTCGTTAGCTAAGTTGGTGAACATAAGTCCCATAACTATGGTTTATGGCAGATATAACTATAGTTTTTGGAGCTTATAAACCAACTTATAACTAGGGGGCACCATCCTGTAAGTAAAGTAAACCACAATCTTAATGGACACATGGATGAAAAAGGAGTTTGTTATTTGCTAAAAATTAGTTCGATATGGGTTGATTTTTTTTAATGTTGGTCAAATTCTGAAGTTTTCAGCATACAAAAATTACTCATGGGGATACAACCATGGAATTTTCACCTTGTCAAGACCAGGGTGATATAATTTTATCAATTGTTGGTTGAAGGGTGGACATTGGAGATTAACCATCAAGTAATCTTTTCTCAAAATCAGAATTCAACTATTCAACCAATGAACAACATTTTTGTATCGGACTATCATGGGATATCATGGAAACATAGCCAACAAGCAATGGCAATGTAACCAATCGAACCGATTTTTTTTGTTAGTGGGGGAATCTGCAGGAAGCAATGGAGAGTTTAGTTTAGCCACTCGAATCGAGGTTTCCTGAGCCGGTTTTCCTCCAAACCTATTGTAGAAGACTAGGGAGTTTTTTTCGCGTATTTAAAGATAACTGGCATTCAACCAATCAAAAATTGTGATTTAACTCATGAATAATAGATAACAAATGGCAAACATCACACAAAAATGTCGATGCCACCATCAAAAAGAAGGACACATGCTGATTCAACCATCAATATTAGAGATTAGATCGTACTATGTGATATTAGGGGGTGAACATTCACGAATCGTGTTATATGGATATATATATATATATGGATGTGTTTGAAAATGGGCGGTACTCATAGATGTCCATTTCAGTATATAATTGGTGAAAATGATGAATATGGAATGCATTGGGATACACACCCCCAAAAATTGGGGATGTCAACATCAAGCTGATGGTTTAGCAACAACATCAATAGGAAATTATGATTCTTAACCAGGAGAAGCACAGGTTTAGTCGGTTTAGTCTACTAGAACATGGCAAAAACATGTTTTACCATGTTATGACCAACATGGACACTGGCGTGCCCGCGATCCTATGCTTCTCATAACTGTTGTCATAATTGGATTTTGAATTGTTGTTTTCGGATTAGATATGCATACCTCATGAAAGTTCCCATTAAAATCACATTTGTTTATATAATTGGTCATATCATGTTCCATTCTTCATGGTTACCCTCTGGTAATTTAAGATAGCTATTGAACATGGCCACTTAATTCGTTGATTTACCTATTAGACATGGTGATTTTCCAGTTTGCAAACTGTAAACGTTTACCAGAGGCTAACCACCAATAAGCCATGATTCGCCACTGCTAACCATCATTAACCACTACTAACCACTAAACAAACCACTATTCACCACCAATAACCACCACTACTAACCACATGTTTAACCAGCAATAAGCCATGCTGGTTGGTGGTTTGGAACATGTTTTTTCCCCAATAGTTGGGATGATGATCCAATCTGACTTTCATATTTTTCAGGGGGTTGGGTATACCACCATCCAGATATATTATCAACCATCAATAATCATCATCATTAACCATCATCATTAACCATCATCATTAACCATCATCATTAACCATCATTAACCAATCGTTTATCTTCATCATCGAGCATGAATTCCATCTCCCCATTTTCATCGATTTTAACCACCGACACCCCCGTGGTTCTCGTCGTGTTCCCAGGTGAACGTTGCGGTTTCGGCTGTACCAGCGGTAGCGGAAACAGCCAGACCTGCGCCAAACAGTTTCTTGATGGAAAAATGAGATGTGCCCAAAAACAACGGTGATTCAATGGGATTTATGACTATTTTTGATTTATACCTGAGTTATGATAGTTAAGATAGTTAAGTTTGTTTCTAACTCCAATAATTTGGGTTTGATTATATTAGACATGTCTATACTCAAGGGGGTTGTAGACCCAGTTATAATTTTGGGAGCACCACATTGTATCATTTTCTCGTCGTATTGGTCAGTGGATAGGGCTGATAGGGGTTATCATTAAGCCATAGATTGTGCATAAATGTATACAATTTAATATATATATAGTTATATATATATTATTCAATATAATATTATATATATAGATGTATGGCATATAAATATATATACACTATACATATACATATGTGGACAGTCCAATGATATATCAAAGTTCCAATTGTTCACCCAATGAACCAATCTTTTTCAAAAGGCCAATTGCGAGTAAGCGTTGCGAGCTCGCTTGGCGCTACAAGGGGATTGCTTCCGAATGCCTGGTAAACATACGCAAAACGATGGAACATCACCATATTTTAATAGACAATCACTATTTTTAATGGGTAAATACACTATGGAAAATCACCACTCAATGGGTAAATCCAACGCAATGAACTGGAAAATCACCATTTCCAGCTGGGCAAATCATGGCAAATCCACTATGAATTGCCATGAAAAGAAGTTCGCAAACTGTAAACGTGTACCAGAGGGTAACCAGCATCCACAATAGCGTACTTGACAAGGTAGGGATACGTTTCCATCACAGTGCAAGAACAACATGTTTCATTGGCAGTGTTTAGCCATCTTCTTGCGGCACCACGGATTCCAAAGTTAAACCATGTCAGCAGAGAATCAGAAGCCGTCCATCATATTTGATTTACGTTATGTTCAATTTGTTTTATAACGAAGCCAAAATATTGAATAATATGTTGTTTCTTAGAGTCCAGTTCCAAATCAAGATGCAGAAGCACAGACTACTGGCAGACTAGCAGTCCCTGGAAGACACTATCCATTTGGCAGACAAGATTAGTGATACCTTTGGTAATCGTGTCAATGGAACATACCAAATGCGGATCTTGATGGGATTATCATTGAACTAAATGGTGGATTTTCCATCAAGCCATGTTTGATGCTATCACTCCTCTTTAGTTGAATATGCACAAACTCATCCAGTTTGGTCAGTCAATGTCAGTCACAAATCATGCCGATTCCGATTGCAACATAGTGCAACCCAATGATCGGCTTTCTCAGTACACTAACTGTTACAATCTACAAGCGAAGCATGGAATCAGTTTATTGTAATATATATTTATATACAGTTATATATATATATGTATATTACATATGATTGCATACATCAACAATTGGGATTTTAGGGGTGTTCCAAAGCTGTCCATTTAAATATCTTGAATGTATACTTATATGTCTCTATAGAGATATGACATATACTAAACTACATAGAGAACTATAATTAACAATATAATAAGCACTTTGGGGTTCCAAATCTGTCCCTTGTTTTTTTGGCAAAGATCGACTTCATTCTCAGCCTGCGCCGCTTCAGCCGCCAGGTGCAAGGGCGACGAATGCGGTTCCGGCTGTGTGGGTGGCCTCTGTGCGGCCCAATGCAATGGACGGAAGTGCGCCTATCAGCTGGGCGGCCCAGCACGGAGAAGAGACAGCTGAAAAAAATGAAGATGGGGAGATGGAATTAATATGAATTAATGGGTTATCGGTGGTTGATAGTGGGTAGTGGTTAGCAATGATCAATAATCATTCATGGTTAATGATGATGAATAGTGATTATGAATGATCAATGCATGGCATGTGGGCAGCCAACATGGTGAATTTCAGGGAAAATCCATCTAAATTAGATTATTTTTGTTTAATAGATGTTGCAATGTATTATAATTAGTCTGGTTGGTGGTTTGGAACATTTTTTATTTTCCCTAATAAATTGGGAATTTCATCATCCCAACTGACGAACTCATATTTTTCAGGGGGGTAGGTTAACCACCAACCAGTAATTTATGTTTTGTCCCTGAAAATGGTCAGCAATATCAGAAAATCCCATGAAAATATCTCACTAACCTGGTGGATTTCAAGCAACAGTCTTGTTTCAACTTTTGGATTTCACGTGATGGCTACCCTCTGGTAATGACGTTTACAGTTTGCGAACTGGAAAATGGCCATTTAGGTCGTGAGTTTTCCCATTGAAAATGGTGATGTTCCATAGTTTTTTTGTATGTTTGCCAGAGGGTACAAATTGCATGTGGGTGTGTCATAAAATTGGGTCCACCCATAAATTGCTTATGTTAGGTTCATGGGGAAAAGATGATCAACCAGCTATTTATGGGGTGCCCTATTTTCAGACAAGCCCATATAGCTTCTATCACAAACAGCTGATGGGTGTATAGTTAATGGGACAACACCCTGAATCCCAATGATTTTACTGCCTGTAGACAAGATGGGAGTTTCTTAAATTAGGGGTACCTCCCAATCATCCAAAAAATATCCAAAAATTGTTTTGTTTGTAACAGGCCTCAGCCAGATTCACACAAGCTGAATTCAAAGCATCCAATCCACCTGTCGGCAAACAAACTGTTGGATCCACAGATTGTGTTCATGTTTAGTACAATGTCATGTTTCGATCCACATCAAAAGCCGGAACTCATTGACTGTGCACCCTCAAGTGTGTACATCCACAGCCCCATGAACTAACATAGACCCTGAAAATCTATAGGAATGTAATTGATGGGTGAACTAAAAGCTCACAATTCCCATGAATTACATTCCCATTATTTACATCAATTACATTCCTATATATCTATAGGATTCTATAGGTACTGTTTTTTACATTCCCATTCCCATGGTACCTTGGGGGTATATATATATAATAAAATATAATAAAATATAATAAATATAATAAATATAATAAATATTAATATATATATATTATATATAATAAATATAATAAATATAATAAATATTAATATATATATATATAATAAATATAATAAATATAATAAATATAATAAATATTAATAGATATTAATATATATAATCCTATATATGTATATATCTAATATTATTTATATCATCAATCTGTTTTGTTGAACGAATGTCATCTGCCAAGCCGCGGTCCCGTCGGTCCCCGCTGGTGCCGCCTGTGCCATCTCAGGTGTTCCGGAGTGAACGGGGACTGCCTGGGGATGGGCGAAACGGTTCCAACTGGGCGAAGACGTTTTACTGTTAAAATTGGTGATATCTCATTTTCTTTCATATACTTTCATATACTACTTTTATAATTCGAATACCAGATTCTAACTAGCTTACAACATAGTTATTTACAGGGTATCTCAGATTAAATATGCGTATATATATACATATATATATATAATCAAAGGAAGTTGGGAAGCAATACTTCCGAGTTACGAATGACTTTTACTTGACGGAATTGACTATGATGAAGGGTGGTGCGCGAGTGAGACTTGACCTTGATGAAGGGTGGTGTGAGACTTTTACACTACATAACAGTACATCAGAAAAGAACTGACTTTGATGAAGGGTGGTGTGAGACTTTACACTACATAACAATACATCAGAAAAGAAACTGACTTTGATGAAGGGTGGTGTGAGACTTTACACTACATAACAATACATCAGGAAAGAACTGACTTTGATGAAGGGTGGTGTGAGACTTTACACTACATAACAATACATCAGGAAAGAACTGACTTTGATGAAGGGTGGTGTGAGACTTTACACTACATAACAATACATCAGGAAAGAACTGACCTTGACGAAGGGTGGTGTTCCTTCTATGCGTTTTGCAACAATGCTGCAGTTCCTGAAGGGAAGTGGTGAAGACGGGAAGTGATGATGAAGGGGAGTGGTGACGCAGGGAAGTGGTGAGGAAGGGAAGTGGTGAAGAAGGGAAGTGATGATGAAGGGGAGTGGTGCATGATGTTGCAAGGGCTCTGTTTTGGGGAGGAAGCCGGAGCACGAAACCTTGTGTTTTTCCGTGTAAAGTGGCTGCAGGCGACGATGAAAGGTACCTCGTCTGTGCGACGGGTGCGGCTGCGGTCGTTCCGGACGCGATTGGTTCCTTCTAATTCTATGTGTTTTGCAACAAGTGGTTATTCCTGTGGTGTAGTTCTATGCGTTTCCTGAAACTGTGGTTGCAGATCGCATTGTAATGGCTGCATGAATGTTGCATGGGCTCTGTTTTGGGGAGGGAGCCGGAGCACGAAACCTTGTGTTTTTCCGTGTAAAGTGGCTGCAGGCGACGATGAAAGGTACCTCGTGTGTGCGACGGGTGCGGCTGCGGTCGTTCCGGACGCGATTGGTTCCTTCTATGTGTTTTGCAACAAGTGGTTGTTCCTGTGGTGTCGTTCTATGCGTTTCCTGAAGCTGTGGTTGCAGATCGCATTGTAATGGCTGCAAGAATGTTGCATGAGCTATGTTTTGGGGAGGAAGCCGGAGCACGAAACCTTGTGTTTTTCCGTGTAAAGTGGCTTCAGCCGGCGATGAAAGGTACCTCGTCTGTGTGGCGGGTGCGGCTGCGGTCGTTCCGGACGCGATTGGTTCCTTCTATGTGTTTTGCAACAAGTGGTTGTTCCTGTGGTGTAGTTCTATGCGGTTCCTGAAGCTGTGGTTGCAGATCGCAATGGAATGGCTGCATGAATGTTGCATGGGCTATGTTTTGGGGAGGAAGCCGGAGCACGAAACCTTGTGTTTTTCCGTGTAAAGTGGCTGCAGGCGACGATGAAAGGTACCTCGTGTGTGCGACGGGTGTGGCTGCGGTCGTTCCGGACGCGATTGGTTCCTTCTATGTGTTTTGCAACAAGTGGTTGTTCCTGTGGTGTAGTTCTATGCGTTTCCTGAAACTGTGGTTGCAGATCGCATTGTAATGGCTGCATGAATGTTGCATGGGCTATGTTTTGGGGAGGAAGCCGGAGCACGACTCTACGCCTTTTGGCATGTAGAAGAATCGACATGAGTTACGCTCAACCTTGCTAATGTGCAGAAGCGCCGAGATAAGTTGAAAGTAGGTCCAACGCATGAGAAAGTTTGAGCTGCGCTCAGATGACATGAAAATAGCCAAGAAGAACGTAGCTGACATATGGGAAGACATGAAACCAGATGAAATGAGCTCAGATGTGAAGTGTGAAGGGTGCAATGTGATGTGTGAGGAAAGTGCTTGCTTCACGTTGCATTGCACCGGGGACGCGCGCAGGTCATGTTCTTGGACAACAACATTGCAACAGCTTCGCACAAAGCACGCACGCACGGGCCTGGCTGGCGCACTGCGCATTCAAGTTCCTTTGTAGTAGTACTGGGAAGTGATTCATGAAAGCTTAGATGACATATGAGAAGAGATGAGATGAGAAGAGCTCAGCTGGGATAAGGTGAGAAGAGCTCAGATGAGATGAAGGGTGCAGTGTGAAGTGTGGGGCAAGAAGAGTGCAGTGTGAAGTGTGGAGTGTGAAGTATGAAGTGTGGAGTGTGAAGTGTGAAGTGTGGAGTGTGAAGTGTGAAGTGTGAAGTGTTGACTGCGAAGGGTGCAGTGTGAAGTGTGAAGTGTTGACTGCGAAGGGTGCAGTGTGAAGTGTGAAGAGTGTGGAGTGTGAAGTGCGAAGAGTGCAGTGTGAAGAGTGCAGTGTGAAGTGTGCAGTGTGGAGTGTGAAGACTGTCAAGTGTGAAGTGTGAAGTGGAGCTTCAAATGTGACATGTGAAACAAGACACCAGTTTCGCAGAGTGCACGCACGCACAACAAAAAATGTCAACACAGCAAACCCAGCCAAACTCAACGGGTCAAACGACTTGACCGCTACTGCTATTAATTACAATCTGTTTTAGGAACCACTCATTTCAAGACATTATATTGTGTATATATATATACACGCATATTATATAATATATATATATATGTAAATACCAGTAGTACCCGCACGAGGCGGGGCGGAAGTTGCCTTCAAAAAAAATATATATATATATAAGACCTTTCTCATCTATAGAACTTGCATGCCAAGCGCTAGCCAAGCCCTTGACTTTGCTTGCATGGAGGATTTGAGCCTGACAGAGCTTTGGGCAAGTTTGCCTAAGCTTGTCCGCCTCTCCTTCGGCGATGATTCTGGTCAGGCGCCGCAATCTGAGGCACTTGCGCACCTCTTTGCAGACGAGGCTGATCTACGTGAGGGTCTCCAGGCATTAGGTGCTGCCTCACCTGACGTGGTGCAGACTTTCTTTTTGATACAGCAGTGGGCAACACTCATGGCCGAGCGAGTGCGGAAACGCCGTGTGCTCCTTTACCCTGAAACGAGTGAAATGAATGGTTCCTAGAGCACCTCATGGTCATCACAAATTTCCCCATCCATTTCCATAATTCATCTGGTCAATGGGAATTCCAGGATCCTAAAGTGGAGGTACTGTACCATATTTTTGGCCATATTTTGTGGGTATATTCCCTTACATAGGCCTAAAAACTAGGCCTTATATATGGTAGGTACCTCCAATCAATCGGTTCCTGAAATGGCCATTGGTCTGGTGAAAATCCCACGATTCCTGCATCCTCCAAGCCTATAAATTCAAGATGTTCCATGGGATTTTACCCCGTGTTGTCCCTATTTTTTCATGCGGAAAGTGGAACTTCCATTGTCTAACCCGTGCAAACTCGGAAAATT